GTTTGATCACACAATTATGTGCAGGTATGTTGCGAACCTATGGGGGATGTCTTTATTACCGGTTTTCTTCTTTGTTTTCTCCTAGGCCTTCGGTCATATTCTTATACTGGGGGCAATGGGAGAGAGGACGCCTATAAAAGGGGAAAAAAGGTGGAGCGGGTGTTTCCTGGGAGGAGCCCTATCTCTCAAGTGAGCTGTCCTAGAAGATTCCTGGAAATACAGTTAACAGGTAAATAACTGCGTTTTCAAGTGCTTTGATAACTGAGACTGTTCGGATTTTTTTTTTTTTTTTTTTGCTAAACAAAGGAAAAAAAGACTGAAAATTTTGATGATGTCTACAGCATGGTTGGCTGGTTCTCTGTGGCACACATCGGGCATGCTCCGTGATCGCTGTGTCCTTCAGACACAGGTGATCACAGAGAGGTAAAGGGCCAATCACAGTGGCCCTTTACCACGTGATCAGCTGTGTCCAATCATAGCTAATCACAGTGTAAATAGACTTGCCGGTTATCAGTCTTCTTGTGCTCTGTGACAGCGTGAGAAGAGAGTCGATACCTGCAATTCTCACGGGGGACATCTACACTGATAATCAAGGCACTGATCATCAGTGCAGCCCTATAAGTGGCAATCAGTGCTGCCTATTACTGCCTCCTCACTCCTCATCAGTTCCACCTATCAGTGCCAAACTGTGCTGTCTAATAGTGTCGCATATCAGTGCAGTCTCACCAGCACACAGCAGTGAAGGAGAAAAATTACTTTGCGCTCCCAGCACAAAGACAGGTACGCAAATATGCGGCCTCATGGAAAAAAGCCCAGTTCCGTAAGGCCACATATTTGTGTGCCGTTGGCATCAAGGGGTTAATTACCAGACATTGATATTTTGTTTTCATACTACGGTTTTTTGATGTCAGGTGAAGATTATCAATTTTCATCTGATGTTTTTCGAGGTGAATTATGACATAACTGATTAGACCTCTATCTTTAGGTGTCACAACATATGAGACCCTTAATCTTATACTTTTGTACATACATCGGATATAAAAAGTCTACACACCCCTGTTAAAATGTCAGGTTTCTGTGATGTAAAAAAAATAAGACAAAGATCAATCATTTCAGAACTTTTTCCATCTTTAATGTGACCTATAAACTCTACAACTCAATTGAAAAGCAAACTGAAATCTTTTTTTTTTTTTTTGGGGGAGGCGTAAACATAAAAAAACTAAAATAATGCGGTTGCATAAGTGTGCACACCCTCTTATAACTGGGAATGTGTTCATAGTTAACCAATCACATTCAAAATCATGTTAAATAGGAGTCAGTACACACCTGCCAACGTTTAAAGTGCCTCTGATTAACCCCACATAGAGTTCAGCTGTTCTAGTAGGTCTTTCCTGACATTTTCTTAGTCGCATCGTACAGCAAAAGCCATGATCCACAGAGAGCTTCCAAGGTATCAGAGGGATCTCGCTGTTAAAAGGTATCAGTCAGGAGAAGGGTACAAAAGAATTTCCAAGGCATTAGATATACCATGGAACACAGTGAAGACAGTCGTCATCAAGTGGAGAAAATATAGTGTCACAGTGACATTACCAAGACTGAAACTCCCTCCAAAATTGATGAAAAGATAAGAAGAAAACTGGTCTGGAAGGCTGCCAATAGGCCTACAGCAACATCAAAGTAGCTGCAGAAATATCTGGCAAGTACTGGCTGTGTGGTACATGTGACAACAATCTCCCGTATTCTTCATATGTCTGGGCTATGGGGTAGAGTGGCAAGACGGAAGCCTTTTCTTACGAGGAAAAACATCCAAGCACGGCTAAATTTTGCAAAACCACATCTGAAGTCTCCAAAAAGCATGTGGGAAAATATGTTATGGTCTGATGAAAGCAAAGTTGAACTTTGTGGACATAATTCCAAAAGATATGTTTGATGCAAAAACAACACTGCACATCACCAAAAGAACACCATACCCACAGTGAAGCATGGTGGTAGCAGCATCATGCTTTGGGGCTGTTATTTTTTCAGCTGGAACTGGGGCCTTAGTCAAGGTAGAGGGAATTATGAACAGTGTCAAATGCCAGTCAATATTGGAACAAAACCTTCAGGCTTCTGCTAGAAAGCTAAACATGAAAACTTCTTTTTTCAGCATGACAACGACCCAAAGCACACATCCAAATCGACAAAGGAATGGTTTCACCAGAAGCAGATTCAAGTTTGGAATGGCCCAGCCAGAGCCCAGACCTGAACCTGATCGAAACTCTGTGGGGGATCCGAAGAGGGCTGTGCACAAGAGATGCCCTCGCAATCTGACAGATTTGGAGTGTTTTTGCAAGGAAGAGTGGGCAAATATTACCAAGTCAAGATGTGCCGTGCTGATAGACTCATACCCAAAAATAGTGAGTGCTGGAATCAAATCAAAAGGTACTTCAACAATGTATTAATTTAAGGGCGTACAACCATATTATTTTAGTTTTTTATTTTTACTTCCCTCCACCTAAAAGATTTCAGTTTGTTGTTGAACTGAGTTGTACAGCTTATAGGTTACATTAAAGGTGGAAAAAGTTCTGAAATTATTTACATTTGTTTAATTTTTTAAATCACAGAAACCTGACATTTTAACGGGTGTGTGTAAACTTTTAATATCCACTGTATATAAAAAAAACCCTAACTATATGATTAGGTAACTTAGTTTCCCAGTGGTTTTTGGGTGTGGGTATACGCAACCCCATTCTGAGATTTAGTAAATGCATAAGCTAGATGTGGAAAACCTTGTAAGAGATTAATAGGCAGGCAGTTGTGATTAAATGAATCTATAAATATATTATAATTGACCACAGGAGCCCTTTTTTTAACAATTATTAACATAATTAAATAAATAACAGTAAACAAAATATACCAAACATCAACAGACCAGTATTGCCAGGTCTTTGGGTGTCCACTAACCAAAATTTTAACTAAGCACCACCTGTCCCAGGTGCACCACTTGGTTTGAGGACAGTTCCACATTGGGTATATATAATCACTTCCACCAAGGGATGGAGCCCCTGGTAGGACCAACAACAGCCTACCAAAAAGAAGCACCATATCAACTAATGGGCACTATTTTGTAATGTTTCCAAGTCTTCCAAAGACCCCCAACCTGTCATGACGAGAAAAACAACCTGTTGATATTGACAGTGGGCGAAAGGGTGAGCTCGTAAGACACTTTCACTCTCCAGCCAACCTTTCCAGAGTGACTTCCCAGCAACATTCTGTCCCTGCCCCTGGCTTCCCCCTATCATATAACCAGTAACCGCCAATCAAGACTTCTTGTTCTTACGCTTCCTCCTCACAAGTTAAGTCTTTTCCAGGCCAATTCCTCCCCTTGTCATGTAGCTCCTATGTCCATTTTCTTTTCTAGTTCTAACTTTTTTATAAATCTGACTTATATGTGCTGTGTTAAAGTATTCCATAAAACTTGTCCAATAATTTTGGATTAACAGACTGCCTGCCTCATGTCTTGGTCATACATCTTGTGTTCAGTGTTTTTTGTAAGATCTTGATTTCAAATATTAATCTTCTGTAAAGCACAGCAGTTGGTCATCAGTTGTATCATAAGCCTTTTACCACTACATGAACTTTCTGACCTTGACGAAATTCATCCTTGTCTACTTTTTTCAAAGCTTTTGAGTTCCTTCTTTTATCTAGTGAGCAGCTGTAATTCTGACCGGAAACCTGGCCTCTGAGGTCATCTTGTCTAGAACTTTAATGAGCAGCTCTAAATTATAAAGAAGAGTATGAGCTGTGAATATATATTTTTTTTCTTTTTCTGCTGGTTGTGTAGCAAAAGTACGGTACTTTATCTTAGCTTTTTTTGTCCACCTTGTCACCCTTTCCTTCAGAGTTGTTTTGTATAGGAGCAAGGGTCATCTAGGACAAAGGGCCTACTAAGAGACTTGCTATTCATGGAGTTTGAATTGTTAGTCTGTTAAAGGATAAGTTCACCTTTTGGTAAAAAGTAGTAAATTCACATTTTTTTGCAGGTAAAAAAATGTGCATTTATTATTTTTGTCTGCAAGAGCCTGTAAATCTTTGCACCAGTGATCAGCAGATCACTGAAGCCATGCAGGTCTCCTGCAGATCTGTCAATATATCTGCTTGCTGGTATGGGATGTATGAGCAAGCAGGTATACTGACAGGAAGAATGAATGAACTGACAGATGGCTGTGAATGAGTGATGTGGCTGTGTGGGCAGAGTCCCACATGGCCACGTTTTTCTAAAATCTGACAGCTAGCGAGGGGGGAAAAGATTGCCCGCTAGCTGTCAAAATAGGGATAAGGGCGGAGCGGGGGGCCGGTCTGATTGTAAAATGTTACATATTACACCCTGAATATGGGTGTAACATGTTATGAAACATGAACTTATCCTTTAAGATGATCATTTTCCCTCTCCAGAAAGCCAGGAAACTCCTTGTTTTTAATATATTATAAAGTATACCTTAACCCCTTGCCTACCAGGCACTTATACCCCCTTCCTTACCAGGCCAATTTTTCAGCTTTCAGCGCTGCCGCACTTTGATTGACAATTGCGCCGTCATGCAAACATTGTACCCATATGAAATTTTGATCATTTTTTTCTCACAAATAGAGCTTTCTTTTGGTGGTATTTAATCGCCACTGGGCGCTTTACTTTTTGCGCTAATAAATTAAAAAAAGTGCAAAAAATTTGCAAAAAAAAAAAAAAAGTTTATTTGTTTCTTTTATAAAATTTTTCAAACAGGTATTTTTTCTTCTTCACTGATTTGCGTTGATGAGGCGGCACTGATGGGCACTGATAGGCTGGCACTGATGGGCACTGATAGGCAGCACTAAAGGGCACTGATAGGCAGTACTAATGAGTGGCACGGATAGGCGGCACTGATAGCCACAGCACTAATTAGGGGTCACGGATAGGCGGCACTGATATGCAGCACTGATAGGCGGCACTGATAGGTGACACTGATTATGGGTACTGATAGACGGCACTGACTGGCATCACTTCTGGGCATGACTGGCGGCACTGACTGGCACAACCCCTGGGCACTGACTGGTGGCACTGACTGGCAGCACTGCTGGGCTGCAGAACTGGTGGGCGGCACTGGTGGGCACCACTGGTGGGTGGGCACAGGTGGGTGGCACTGGTGGGCACAGGTGGGTGGCACTGGTGGGCACAGGTGGGTGGGCACAGGTGGGTGGCACTGCTGGCACATGTAGGTGGCACTTCTGGGCACAGGTAGGTGGCACTGCTGCAGAGTGGCACAGGTGGGGGCACAGGTGGGGGCATCTCTGGGCACAGGTGGGGGCACTGCTGGGCAAACTGCAGGACACTTGCGGGGGTCATCCTGCTGGGCACCGATCATCAGGGCACTGATCATCAGTGCCCTGGAAGCATCGGTGCCGATCCCCGCTCTGCACAACTGCCGGTTCTCGGCAGTATTTTCCTCACGATCTGACAGCGTGAGGAAAGTGCAGCCAGAACCGGCACTTGCATTTTCCTGTGATCAGCGTGTCATTCGGGACACCGCTGATCGTGGTAAAAGGGGAGTGGGATCGGCCTTTCACCACATCTCGTGATCAGCTGTGTCCGTAGGACACAGCGATCACGGAGATCGCCGGTGCTGCGCCCCCTGGGGCGCGCAGGAGAGCGCGTTCTGGGAGGACGTCATATGACGTCCACCTAGAACTAGCCGGCCGCGTTGCAGCCGTCATTCGGCTATGCGCGGTCGGCAAGTGGTTAACCATCTGTTCCTTCTCATATTTTTCATTTTGTTAGGAGCGCAAGGGTCGGGAATAAAGTGGTTCTAAAGGCAAAAGGTTTTTTATTTATCTTATTGCATTCTCTGCATAAAGGCAAAAGACTTCTGCAAGTAGTACCCCCCCCCCCCCCCCCCACAGCGCCCACTTATACTTACCTAAGTCTGATCTCGATCCAGTGATGTGCACGAGATCAGAGGCTCTCTCAGCTCTCTCTCTCCTCAATGGCTCAGACACAGGAGTGGGAACACATGGCTCCTGCAGCTGTCAATCACAATCAGGGAGGAGGGAGCAGGGGTGGGACCGAACAGTGCTCTGTGTCTGATGGACACACAGAGCTGGCTCAGGAGCAAGCAAGGGCGAGTGCCCCAATAGCAAGTGGCTTGATATGGGGGCTCTCTGCAGAGGGGAGGGGCCAGGAACACTGGCGGGGGACCCCAGAAGAGGAGGATCAGACCTGCTCTGTGCAAAACCCTTGAACAGAACATGTACGCATAACATGTTTGTAATTAAAAAAAAAATAAAAACAGTGCCTTATATTCACTTTAAGTAATGCACAGGGTCAGGATTAAATAATGCACACAGAGTCCAGGGGTCAGAATTAAGTAGCACACAGAGTTCTGGGGGTTAGGATTAAGTAGTGCACAGGAGTCAGGATAAAGATTTCAGGGATCAGGCCATATTTGTTACATATTGCAGCTTTTGTCAGTCGAACATCATCTCTGGGAGCTAGGTAGTGTTGTGTAGTTTGGAGTGTGCAGGCTCCAACTCATCACACTGCGGGCATCAATCCAGAACCTGGGCACAGCAGCAGGAATCAGTGCGTGCTTGGAAGCATTCATCCCCATGCACGTGCAGGGCACTCTAGTGGTGCCATTTTTAATTTTCTGCTTCAACAGTGTGACAAGTTGGAGCTTGCACACTCCAAATTTACTTTGCCTGGCTTCCAGGAAAACATCCAGGGGTGACTGTTTCTCGGGAACTGTCAGGCTTTCCGCCCAGCGGGATCTCTAGTGGTCCACGGCACGGGGTTTCCCAGGACGCGGAGTCTAAGTCCCAGTCTGCCTTTTCACCAGAGCCCCTGATGGTGGGGATGGACTTGGTGCAAGACTGGAACCAGGTCGCGTCCCTGGGCACCCCCATGCGGTGGCAGGGGTCCCGCTGAGGGTATGTGCCCGGGATGAGTCTGATGTGAAGGGGATGACAGACCCTGATCCAGCGGGACTTGGATGGGATGACAGATCCCGATCCGAGCAGGATGGATGGACGACTGCTAGGAGTGAGCGAGGTCAGACTAGCCGGGTCGGTATCGTGCGGGCAGCGTGGTACAGAGGGAGCAAGCGGAGGATGGTCGGGGTCACAAGCCAGGTTCAGCAGGTAGCGGGCAGCGTGGTACAGAGAGTCAGTCAGAGGGATGGTCAGGAACGAGCCGGGTCAGAGCAGGAGAGGGTCAGCGTAATCAGAACAGGCAGAGTTTGGCAACAAGGAAACGTACTAGCAGGAACACAGGAACAGGAACAAGACCTTGCGGCACTTTGGAAATGCACAGGGCAGATTTAAATAGGGCGCCTGAGTTTCCATTGGTGCGGCCGCGATCGCTACTGCGCATGCGCGGCCGCCGCCGCGATCTCTGTATTCGCCGGCCAGGAAGATGTCGGCGATCTGCGGGAGCGCGACGCTGAGCGGCCGGGATTCCTGACAGGAACAGACTCCTCACAAAAATCTGTGGTCATGGGGAGTGGTGCCATTAAAGTGATATAGAGTGGTAAACAACCAAAATAAACTGTCTGTGGCACACTGTACAAGGAAAGGACAGTTGAACTTTTCAAATATGCAAAATCTAGCAGCAAAGGTTTTTATAACTCTGGAAAAAGTTAAAGTTCAAGCTTTTAGTAACAAACACTTGTGTGTATGTGGCCTAAAATCAGCACTGGAAAGAGGAGGGCGAGTAACAGCGCCAATAAACATTCAATAATTTGAGGTATTCTTAAACAAATATTTAAAAGACAATCGACAAAATGTTTGTTCTGCAAATTTTACTCTTGCTTATATCTTGGCAATAAACATCAACAAGCTGCTTGGTAAAACCCAGATTGTTCTCTTTAACAGTGATTATACACACCCCCAGACAATGCTTTAGATGCAGAAGGCAAGCTATAGTTCAGATCCAGCGCTGTCACTGGAGTTTATAATCATTAGCAAAACAGTGAGTCATCCCTCACAGACACTACAACAACAAACCTCTGTTGTTTAATGTCATGCGAAATTGTCCTTAATTATCTTGTTACTACTGATGAGCGAACACTTGAAACAAAATTTGCAAACCCCGAAAATAACCCCGGACACCCTTGAAGCTTAAGGGAGTTGAATCTTTTATTTTTTTTAAAGGCCAATTTGCAAGCTTTTGGTAAAAGAAATATAGATAGCTGCACTGGCACTGCCATGGGGAACATGTTCCAATGCCAAAATGTTGTAACACCCTCCTAGATAGGGTGTTAGGTAAATTTAGTTTTGGCTTCTGTAACTATAGGAGCCGGGATTGTTAAGTCTGGACATTTTTGGAACTCCAAGGGCAGTTTGATTACCCACCCCATTTCTAAAAGAAGCTTCTGGAGATTAGGGTGGGAGAAATCAGATACCGGGCCTGAATATTTAGTAGGGCTCATCCAATCCTTGGGGAGGTATGCCCAAATGGTGGTGGGTTCCTGTTAAATAGTCTGGAGCCCCAAGGGGATTCCTTGTGTGGGAATGGATCTGTGAGCTCCAGGGGGCTGCTTGCCCTTGAGCACTCCTGGGCTGGATGCGAGAATACTTTGTTGAAGGCTGCATCTGTAGATTGTGTACGTTCTAGGATCCCATGAATAGAGACTCTTTACTTTGCTGAAGCTTTTCATTATTCCCAACCATTAATCTTGGGCTGCTTCAGTTTCCTGTACACATGCAATTCATGCCTGCATGGTCCCTAGCAGTGCACCTATAGACTATCCTAGTCTACTACTGCCTATGTGAATACTACTACTACTTAGATAGAAGTGTCCTCCACTAGCAGCATATTCATTTTGGAGTATCCTGAATCACCCCCAGATCCTCTCCCAAGTTCTATCAGCAATAAACCTGCAAAAAAAACCAACCCCTAGTTTCTACTTGTTGACCCAGAGTGGATGGACTGCTGCTGTATGCACTGGCTTGGGAAAGAACCTGTTCTATCCACATTGGCCACTACAGATCTAATGTTACAATATATATATTTTAAATACAGTTTATTGGTGAACAGGTCTTTATAAACAAAGTGGTTTGGGGTTCCTTGGTTACTATTGTGCTTGTGTCAGTGGGTTGTAGTGGTATCACTCGTCATGATGGGCAATGCATCTACATCATTGGATTGTGTGACTGATGTTGGATTTAGACCATGGAGCAGCAGGCTGGAGGTTTGGGTGGGTGGACAAGCTGGTCAAATCTGTCCATTTTGTTCACCTACTTGGTAAACTGCAAACAGCTTGTCTTTGAATTGAACTCGGGGTCCACCTGAAGCTCACCTCTACTTGTTGGCTAACATTTTGCTAGCTACATTTATAGTGCTCAGCATAAATGAGTATACCCCTTTTGAAAAGTAAGATTTTAATCAATATCTCAATGAACACAAGAACAATTTCCAAAATTTTTACAAAACTGAGTTTTATAGAACATTTGTTTCGCTAATTACATGAAAGTATGGTTAACAATATACCTCAGATTACAAGATCTTCAGTTCTACTCAAATTAGTTGATGGAAAAATGAATACACCCCACAACAAAACCGACTACATCTAGTGTTTTACATGACTTCCATGATTTGTAAGCACCAAGTCTTCTAGGTATGAAATGAACAAGTTGGTGACATATTGCAACAGCTATATTTTTCCATTCTTCAAGAACGACCTCTTTTACAGCCTTGATGCTGGATGGAGAGTGATGCTCAACTTGTCTTATGGGTTCAGATCAGGAGACATACTTGGCCACTGAATCACTTTCACCCTGTTCTCCTTCAGAAATGCAACAGTGGCCTTAGGTGTGTGATTTGGATCATTGTCATGTTGGAAAAGTGCATGGTAGCATCTTCTCTTTCAATTTAGAGCAGTACATCTGTGAATTCATGATACCATCAATTAAATGCAGCTCCCTGACACCAGCAGCATTCATGCTGCCCCACAGAAGGACACTGCCACCACCATGTTTCAGTGTAGGCACTATGCAATTTTCTTTGTACTCCTCACCTTTGCGACGCTATACAGTTTTGAAGCAATCAGTTCCAAAAACATTTATCTTGGTCTAATCACTCCAGAGTACAGAGTCCCAGTATTCTTCTTCTTCTTTTTCAGCATGGGCCTTGGCAAATTCTAGGTGGGCTTATTTGTGCATGGGCTTTAGGAGAAGCTTCCTTCGTGGACAACACCCATGCATGCAATTCCTCTGCAGTGTATGCCATATGCCAAGTTCAATCAATCACCCCAGTTTGGCTTTCTACTTCTTTAGCTAACTGCAGTGAACTTGCATGGCGATTTTCTTCAATCCTTCTCATCAGAAGATGCTCCTGTTGAGGTGTTAACTTCCATGGATGGCTTGGAAGTCTCTGTGAGATTGTTGCAGTTCCACCTTTGCTAAATTTTAGTATCACTTTTGCTAGAGTATTATGACTGATAAGTAAAGCTTTGCTGATCTTCTTGTAGTCTTCACCTTTCTTGTGCAAAGAAATTAT